AGCCTGGCGGGGTCGTTTGGTTTCCTGGGCAGCTGGATTTCCTTCAGGCTTCGGAAGCGGAGCGGAGCGGTGCGAAGATCGAGATCGGGGGCGGGCAGAAGCGACAGCGTGGTGGCTGCCAGCGCTGGAGGGAATTCTGGTTCGAGGACAGACCGACTGACTGCTTTCTTTCTCTTTAACGATTGCAGCAAGCGCTAGCAGCGCGGGCATTTGTCACTTCCCAACAAAACTTCAAAACCCAACGACTTGTTCCGCTTCCAGCATCCTCCGTTATCCTTAACCAGCCGGTGAAACCCAGACCTGTGCAGCTGGGGCAGACCTTTTCTGATGCCATGGGAACTATGCCATGAGGACTGGTAAGACTTGGCCGTAGCCATGACGGAGCCCCACAGGGTTTCGTTCACCACTCTCCACGGTCCTCTGAGCAGCAGCTTCTTGAAGAGGTCTCGGAAAGACGATGGAGAGCAGCCCCAGGACTCTGAACCGGCTGCAACAGCCGTTCGAATCACACTCACTCTCTTTGAGCCAGACCATAAACGTTGTCCGGAATTTTTCTACCCAGATCTTCTGAAGAGTTGTCGAGGGAAAGTAAAAGGTGGTTCTTCAGGTGACAAGGTAAGTGTCCTCGTGGCTGGGGGGAAACGGTGCTTGTTTAGTTTGGAATTGCTTGATCCAAAGGGATTTTTGGTACCTGGCTCCCTAGCAGCTATGAGCGGCCTTTCTCCAAAGAGCATCAGGAGGAGAGATGCTCCTACGATAGGTGCCTGTATCTTTCTGGGGACCCTGCTCCACTGCACGTGAATGTTTCCACCTTAGTGCTTGGCATCTCGTCCTGTGTGGTGGACGTGGTGCTGCCAGGTGTTGTCTGGCAATTCTGTTTGCCTGTTGAAAGTAATTTCTCAGGGCGTGATGGCACGCACACTTCTGTAGCATCTGAACTTTGTCTTATGGGTGCTTTTCTGTGAAAAGGAAGTTGATTGGGTTCCTCTCGCTTTTACTGTTGCTCTTCAGAACTGTTTAGCAGTCTGTTGTCAGTTCGTGCTGCTTTGTTTTGAGAGTGAGGAGAAGCAGAGAGACTTACAGAAGTAGCTGAGGGAGCACCCAAAATCTAGAGATGCTCTCAGAGTCATGGAACGGTTTGGGCTGTCAGGGACCTTTAGAGGCCACCCAGTCCAACCCCTTGCAGACCCTTCACCCCCTTCACCCAGGCCAGGTTGCTCAGAGCCCCGTCCAACCTGGCCTTGGATGTTCCCAGGGATGGGGCATCTCCCACCTCTCTGGGCAACCCGTGCCAGTGCCTTACCACCCTTGACGTAAAAAAAATCTCTTCCTTATATCCAGCCTGAATCTCCCCTCTTTTAGTTTAAAACCATCACCCCTTGTCCTGTCGCTACAGGCCCTGCTAAAAAGTCTGTCCCCCCCTTTCTCCCCAGCCCCTTTAAGCCCTGCAAGGCCGCAGTCAGGTCTCCCCGGAGCCTTCTCTTCTCCAGACTGAACCACCCCAATTCTCCCAGCCCGTCCCCATAGCAGAGGGGTTCCACCCTTGGATCATTTTTGGGGCCTCCCCTGGCCCCGCTCCAGCAGGTCCCTGTCTGTCCTGTGCTGGGGACCCCCGGCGCTGGACGCAGGGCTCCAGGGGGGTCTCAGCAGAGCAGAGGGGCAGAATCCCCTTCCTCGCCCCACTGGCCACACTGCTGGGGATGCAGCCCAGGACACGGTTGGCCTTTTGGGCTGTGAGTGCACGCTGCTGGCTCGTGTCCATCTTTTTGTCCACCAGCACCCCCAAGTCCCTCTTGGCAGGGCTGCTCTCCATCCCTTCATAACCAGCCTGTATGGATACCGGGGGTTGCCCCCATCCGGGTGCAGGACCCTGCCCTTGGCCATGTTGAACCTCATGAGGTTCACATGGGCCAACCTCTCCAGCTTGTCCAGGTCCCTCTGGGTGGCACTGCGTCCCTCAGGTGCATCAACTGCACCGCTCAGCCTGGTGTCGCCTGCAAACTCACTGAGGGTGCACTGGATCCCACTGCTGATGTCATTGATGAAGACATTGAACAGTACTGTACTAAATGCTGTACTACCCGTTGATTTGTCCGAGCTTCTGCCTGGATGTGCTGGTTGCGATGGTTTAATGCATGGGGTTTTGGTGGCAGTGTGACAGGATTGATTCTGATGGTTTTGTCTCTTTTATTTCTACAGAAGAAGGACCCTGCTGATCCCTTTAATGATGACGAAAAGGAAAGGCATAAAGTGGAGGCTCTTGCTAGGAAATTTGAAGAAAAATACGTATGTTTTTCTTCTTTCTATTACGTTATCCCATAGAATGGGCAATGCTGTCTGGCTCTCAACCAGTATTATTTTAGTAATGGTCATTGGCTGTTATGTTCCTGTTCTCCTGCAGTCCTCCGTCTTGACTGGAAGGTTCTGTTTTCTCTGTTCCTTTTCTGTCTCAGGGCTGTGGTCCACAAAAATAGTTCAGATGCGTTCTGAAATCAGATGACAGTCTGATTAAAATGAATGATGCTCTCACTTGTAGTGGCAAATGTCATTATCTTAATGTAACTTAGGAAATTTAATTTTCCGAAGCAAAAATTAATTTCTAGGCCTTGCAGCTGTGGCACGATGTAATCTGTTAAGTCTGTAAGTACAGTGCTCTGGTGAGGCTGCTGCCCTTCGGAAAGTGCTGTGCTGGGCAGCGTGAGGGGCGCTGACCTGCCTGGCCCTTTTCCTTTCTGTTCTTCTCGCTTTACTTCAGTAGACAGCAATAAAACTACTCTATGTTTTACAACTGGCGCTTTTGGAGAGCGAGTTGCTGTGTTGTCGTGTGATATGAATTTGACCTATGGGTCACCCTAACGCACTGCATGTATGTTTGATGCATGTAGTACCGAGTTGGTACCGACTCTATAGCAGTTAGGGAAGAACCATCTGTCTCTGCGCTGGCAGAAATGTTGAAAGGGGTGCAGACCCAATCCAACGTAAAGCCTGCTGGCACACAGTCAGCCTGTCTGGCAGGCCAGCGTCCTGTTTCATCTGGCAGCACCGCTTTTGATTCTGCATGACAAGGCCTAAAACTGGATTTAGCCTATCCCGAGATTCCAGTGTGATGGGAGTTAACGCTGCTTTGGTTCTGCTGCTGCTAGGAGCAAAAAAGATCTCATTTGCTCTTCTGTACTGGAGACGATGTCAGTGTCCTGTACTGGGGCCATCCCCGTGGTAATTGGAAAAGAAAAGTGAACGCACCGTCAATCTTTTGTTGTTTAGGGTGGCAAGAGACGCAGAAAGGACCGTATTCAGGACTTGATTGATATGGGGTATGGATATGACGAATCGGACTCCTTTATCGATAATTCTGAAGCGGTGAGTACTGGGGCAGGAGTGGGAGCGGTTAAAAGCAGCCTCTGGGGGTGGCTGAGCTGGCACCTGGGGAGAACCTGAACTGGGTGCGAGGCAGGAGTGTGCTGGGGCAGGGGAAGGAGAGCTCCTGGGGCAAGCGCAGGGGAAGGAGAGCTCCTGGGGCAAGCGCAGGGGAAGGAGCATGCTGGTCAGCAGGTTTTTGTGTCCACAGCCCCGTCTCTTCTTGGGGAGCGCAGATCCTGCTCCGTTCTCCAAGCCGCTCAGCCACAGAATAAAGTAACAAAGCTTACAGTGCCAAGAGATTGTTCTCTGTTATTTCCAGTACGATGAGCTCGTTCCGGCTTCTCTTACTACGAAGTATGGAGGGTTTTACATCAACTCAGGAACACTGCAGTTTCGGCAGGCATCTGAATCTGAAGATGACTATGTTAAAGAGAAGAAGAAGAAGTGTCCCAAGGTCAGCAAGGCAGCTTTCTCAATTATTTCCTCTGTAGAGTTGTGCTCCTCTTCAGGGCAATGTCTGTTGGAGACAGCCCTATTTTCATAATGCTGAAGCGTAAAAGGGGCTAGCGTAAAAGCTAGCTGTGCTGTGAAATGTTGAAGAGCGCCTGTGCCAGAATGGTGGCGATGGATGTATGGGGGTTGGGTTAATGTGCCCAGTGGGGCAGGAGCTGTTCTCAGATTCTTGGGGTGCGGGTAGCACTGTAGGAGATGCTTTGATTGTGACTTGGTTTTGATCCTGTCCAGAAGCGGAAGTTGAAAGATGGAGGTGAAAAAATGAAGAAGAAGAAGAAAGATGATTCTTATGATAAGGAAAAGAAATCCAAAAAGTCCAAGTTTCCAAAAGCTGGGTAAGGAGCAGGAGGGAGCGCTTGCTGCTCGACACCTTGCTTCGGGGTGCCCAGTGGCGTTCGTTGCGTTGCAGCAGTACCTGCTGCAGTGGGGGGTGGCTTGAGTAGTGTGTGCTGCATAAACACTGGCCGGTAACCACTGCTGCTTCCAAAGTGGGAGAAAAAAGGCAGTTGATGATTAGGGCAGGAGCACAGCTCCACAGCAAGAGTGGCTGAGCAAAGAGGGGCACAGCTAGCTGCAACGTTGGTGTTTCTTGGAGCTCTGTTTAGGCACTACCTGTGGGAACATCTTGATATTGGAGAGCCTGAAGAGAAGGAAAAGGAATTTGCTCTCCTGATTTTAATAGGCCAAAAGCATCAAGGTGCTGTCAGGCTAACGCTCTTTTGCTTCCGTTCCTCTGCGCTAGTTGTTTGTGCGTTTCCAAATCTTCCTTGCTGGAATAATGCACATAGCTAAATAAGAGCATAACTCGGTGGAGATGTGTTAAACTCCATCACCTCTCTGCCGTGAAGAAGGACAGCCTTCTCTTCTCCAAGCCGAACAAGCAGCAGGACTGTAAGACCTTAAGAGACAAAGCATATTTTTCCTGGTGTAATTGATTAAGGGGCTGAGACTTCCCAGGGGATTGGTGCGTATGGCTGAAGTGAACGGGGATGAGGTATCTTTGTCTCTTCCCCTTAATCTTGTATTCACTTCAGTTCTGTTTTCTTCTCTGTACTTTGTTTACAGCTTTACAGCATTAAATGCAAGTAAGGAGAAGAAGAAGAAGAAATACTCTGGTGCTCTTAGTGTCAAGGAGATGCTGAAGAAGTTCCAGAAGGAGAAGGATGCTCAGAAGAGAAAAGATGAAGAGCAGAAAGCAGCGACTCCTTCACCGGCAGAAGCTCCAGCCCCAAGGGAGGCAGAGGCGATGCCTGACCCTTTGCTCTCGCTCTTTGGCCATGCCAGTGATAACGACTTGCTTCAGGCCGCAACAGCTATGGACTCGTTAACTGACTTGGACCTGGAGCGGCTCCTCAGCGAATCCCCAGAAGGGAGTCCCTTTCCTGATGTGGAGGATGGGAGTGATCCTATTGGGATGGGCTTGGAACAGGATTTCAAGCAACCGCCATCCCTCCCAGAAGGCCTGCCAGCCCCCTTGGAGAAACGCATCAAAGAACTGGCTCAGGTATGGCAGTTCGTTGCGGGGGCAGTAGGACTGTGTGGTTACTGGAGAGGGGACAGCTCTGCTGGGTTTGTGTAGCTTCGCCCAGAGACCACGCACACTCCAATGGGGAGTTTCACAGTGCCATGTCGGATCATGCTTTTGTGTCATCCAGTTTTCTCTCATGGCCAAGTCACTTTCTTGGACGCCTGGATGTCAGGTAATGTCAGAGTCCTCAGCCTTGTTATGTACTGGATGTAACACTCAGTATCCCGCCTGTCAGTATGGTTTCTTTAGCTCTCTTGGCGAAGTATCGACCTGATGCAAGAGGTAATTTCCAAAGTCAATTTAACGTGAATGAACTTAAAATGGGAACTAATGAGGCTGAAGGACAAATTCCACCATAATAGTTTTAAGGTGCTGTGATGGTCAGGATGAGGTCTGTGAAGTGGCGTGCAGTGTTCTGTGTGTAAAATAAGTGTGTGCAGCTGGAAAGCGTTACCTGCTCTACAGTGGCATGAAAAGCCCTGTGGATGGGGCTCGAGGATTTGTTAGAACCATTTGCTGTGCCGTATGCAGGCACACTGAAGCATGGGTGCAATTTGGCATCGCCTGCGTTGGCGCTGCGTCGCTGGCAATTTGGGTTCTTTCTCCATCTTTAACATCTCAGTGTTGGGGTACTGTTTAGGGAGTGGGATATATCAAAAGGGTGATCCCACGTCTTTTCACCGATAGCTCCTCCCGCAGCCGGACTCCTGTGGGACTCGCCCATCTTCTCCAACATGTTGGGACCTGCTTTGGGAACCTCTGTTCTGGAGAAGAGGGAAGGGCACTGGGCGCTGGCCAGGGATCCCTCTCCTGGCGTGTTGAAGAAGTGCGCTTTCAGGCTTGCTGTGCGCCTTCTCTGGTGCGAGGGCTGACACCATCAGCCTGTCAACAAACGCTGAGATGTCTTGTTCCTGCTACTAGTGTTGCTTTTAAACATTGATTTTAAGTCGTAAACAGTGCTCTTGGATGTCTGTGGTGGTGTATGTGCTGCATTCTGGGGCACATCAATTTAGAGCACCTGTTACTTAAGCATCTCTTAAGAACTCCTGTTACTAAAGATAAGCTTTTGTTAAAGATATGTGTGTTCTGCTGAGAAATTTTAAGTTGTGTATAATGGTGGTGAGCAGATGGATGAGAAGGAGGAATTGCAGAAAGTCTTGCCACAGCCAATAAAAAGAATGGGCTCTTCGTGGATGTTTCTATTTGCTATTCAGGCTGTTAAGAGAAAACACCGAAACATCTGTTTCTGAACTATATCTGAGTTAAAGGAGAATATTAAAGAGGCTCCCGTGATACCAAGTTAATCACTATGTTGCTGCAAGGTAGTGTAATAGCAGACTACCCACAGATTTTCCTGGTTAGATTTTCCTGCTTCTGTCTGTCCTGTTGCTGGACTGTGTATGTTAAGAAAAGAAACCAAGAAGGAGAAATACAAGATTTAACAAATTGAAGCCTCTGGGTGAGTTAGGATTTTGGGACACGTACTCTGGTGCAGGTGGGAATGAAGAGGTGCCATACCTCTGTCTGAGAGCCAGGTCTTTTCCATCCCAGCAGATGGGAGCATCTCCTGGGTTAAATGGAGCCTCCAGGCATCTCCTCTTCTACTTGAACTGATTTGACTTTAACTCTGCTTCCTAAAAGTATTTTCCTGTTGAGGATTCTCTTTAGCATTGAGCCTTCTCCTTTGATACCACCAGCTGCCTATGACCTGCTGCTGACAGAGAGGAATGTACTCCTTCTGGGCATAAACTAATCACTTACCAGCCTCAGCCCTGAAGTATTAAACTGGGGGATTTCAAAATCATGCCCTTTTCTCCTGGTCTCCTTTCCCGTGCTGGGAATCACTAACTTGACGTGGTGCCTTGTGGTGAATTCCAGCTTTGTTTTCAGTCTCTTCTGAGCGGGGATGTAAGCTCTTGGCAATTTTCTACTATCTCATTCATCTCTTGGAATTATTTTCCTGCTGGACATTTTTTTCATGGGTGTGATTTTTGGACAGAGCTCTCTGTATTGCAGTCATAGCTCAGGAAGCTTCCTGAACAGGACGTTTTTTTTCTTTTTAGCTTCCATGGTATTGACTGGGAACAACATATCCCCCGTGGCTGCTGCTCTTTCTGTTGGTTTCTTGGCTTAGTGTCCAGACTGGTCTAGAAACCCTGATGATAAATATCCCTGACCCTCATTAAATGTGATGGGGATGCCCTTCCCTGTTCCAGGGACAAGCTCTATGCTCATATTACTCAGCCTAATGGCTCTAGTGTGAAGTTAAAACCATGCCCTAGAACTGTCCCAGCTGTCCACTGTCCCTTCTCCCCCTGGGAAGTGGAAGCCAGTGGCCACCAAGCCATCTCCTTTGCCCCATTAAATGCAGGACTCTTCACTCCAGTGCACTCCACCCCAGTGTATCTGCACAGGAGAATCCAGAATGGGAAGGTCTGTAGGCAGGATATGCTCTTACCAGTTCAGATGGCAGGGTCGGACTGTGAAGAGGTGTAAGAGGAGAGGACACACTCTCCTGTCTCTTGATTGTCACAGTTTTTAGCCCATCTACAGTGGGTAGCTGGTGCAGAGTTTGGTGGAATAAATCTGCCTTCTTTTACAGTACTTCTGAGGTGGTTTAAAAAAACACTTGGTTGCTTGTGCCTGCCTCTATCTGTGAACGGATGACGACTTGTGTTATTTCCTAATTTCCAGGCTGCCAGAGCTGCAGAGGGAGAAGGCAAACAGCGATTCTTCACTCAGGATATCAACAACATCATACTGGAGTAAGTGCTGCCAGGCAAGAAGAGTGGGAAAGGAGAATATTAGGCAGAGCATTTTTGGTAAATTCAGGAGCAGGTTTAGCAGGAGTTGTGGGGGTGTCCTTATACAGGCACTCCATGCAGAACGTGCCTAGGATAACATGAAAGTCTCCTGGAAATGGCTTTCAGTTGAGATATGATGTATAACTGAGGTAGGAGAAGGTTGGAAGGGATGTACCCAGGCCTCTTGTTATCAAGATGATGCTTGATACCTGCTTGATACTTAAATTCGGTCACCTGACCTGTGATTGTAGCTAGATACAAGAACAGTAAATCTCTCCCTGTTGGAGAGGTCAGGCGTGTTCTTTGCGATTTAATTTATATGCTATATGGAATATTTTATGACTGAGATAGGGCTGCTGTGTTCAGCTGGTTTTCTTTGCAAACTGGAGGAACTCCGTTACTGCTCTGTATTTTTGAGTCCCTCAGTTCCAGAACGCCAGTGTTGCTTCACGCAGCTGTCGATAATGGTTTCATTCTTCTTCAAGTGCCTGGAGAAGGCTGATGAATGCACACAGCTTTGTGATCAACAGCAGCGTAATACTTACACAGAGGCTTTAATTTCATTAAGGTTTATCAAAGCACTTGAAGGGAATTGCCAAAGGGAAGTTTGGGAGTCTGTTGCCCTCTCATTTCAAGTGGTGATTACCACCTTTTAGCATTCCAGCGCTGACTGCACAAACAATCCTAATCTGTTTTCCCACTGATAACTTTAACCACATTCAGAAGTGATTTAAATAGATTTGTATGACTGTGCCGTAGAATCAGTTAGTGTCAATCACTTACTGACACTGAGAGGTGGCTTAAAAAGCTGGTCTCTTAGGTTATACCTAACTGTGTAGATGGCTTTGGCACATGCTGACCTCTTGAATCTACTCACTGGCAAGTCAGTTTGAGCCTGAGGGATAAAGTTTGATTCTATATTATCCTGCATCAAACCGCTGTGGTATCTGACATAAGCAGCGTATACGTCTCATTTCATTGCCTGACACTCAACACTCCTGCACTTCAGCTGCCAGGAAGAAATGCAGAATAAATGGGACTGCTGACATCCTTTTGTTCCTTTTCCAGATACTCTGAAACTAGAAAGAAAGGCCTAGCTTGGGATAAAAGGCTTGAGTCTGTTGATTCTAAAATCTAAAGAACTGTCATGTAGTTTGGCTTATGCTTTGTCCCTCTCTGCCTGCCTCCAGCTTCTCAGGTTGCATCAGAGTTGCATTTATGCTGCTTAGAGAACCCCTGCCAGATGCCTGGTCAATGCTGTGTTTGTCTTGTTCTCCAGCATAGAGCTGCAGACCCGGGAGCTGAACAGCCAAATCCGCTCAGGGGTGTATGCCCACCTGGCTGCTTTCTTCCCATGCAGTAAGGACACTCTGGTCAAGCGTGCCCGTAAGCTTTATCTCTACGAGCAGGTGAGTAGATTTGGCAGCACAGCCCTGTCTCGTGTGCATGTTACCCCTGATCTCCAGAGCACAGTTGTTGTCTACCTAATGTGGCGGTGTCCTCCACTGAGCATGATTTGGGCACTGCATCTGGTGGTGTGGATTCAGAACTGGCAAGGTCTCAACCTGCCAGATTTGGGTGTCTCGCTGGAACACGCCACGCAGAGCTTCAGTCTGTTCTGTGCTGTGCTCTAGGGTGGCCGATTGAAGGAACCCCTGCAGAAGCTAAAGGAAGCCATTGGAAGGGCCATGCCAGAGCAGATGGCCAAGTACCAGGAGGAATGCCAAGCCCACACTCAGGCCAAGTTTGCCAAGTAAGCTCCCCATTTGCTTGTTATGCATCTGTAGCCCTTCTCAGCAGGCTCCCTGTGACCTGGAGGCTGCTCTCATGAAGTTTACCACCTACTTTTGTTCTGTAGTCAGAAACCGCTGATGGGCATTAATTGGCCTAATGAAGCTGTGTGTGTTCTGTGTGCTGTCTATGGCGATGCCAACTACAGCAGCACTGATGGGACCAGAACTTGGCTGAAGTCTTTCAATTCTGTGTGGGCATGTCTTTAGGAACACAGCAGTCTGAGAACAGTCAGGCTGGATCGGTCCTGTGATCTCTATTACACAATATTGGGAGGTTTCTTAACCTTTAGCACTTAGCTCAGCTTGCACCCAAAGCAAGAGATTTAGGCCCTCTTTCCATGCCTGTGTTACCATTGACTACTGGGACCTCTGAACAGTGTTGTTCAGGGATACTTAATCCTTGAATCTCCAGGACAATGACTTCCACTTTATCTGTCTCCGTTTTAGGATGCTGGAAGAGGAAAAAGACAAAGACCAACGAGATCGAGTTTGTTCTGATGATGAGGAGGACGAAGAAAAGGGAGGGAAGCGCGTCATGGGACCACGAAAAAAATTTCAATGGAATGATGAAATCAGGTTTGCATAACTTAGACGTTAAGTGAACTTATGACTCGTCTTACTCTATGCAGCTGGAAGTGAAGCATTTCAGTGTTCGTATCTTGTTTTCAGAGCAGTGCTGCTCATCTGTAGTAACAGTCAGCTGGGAGGTTTGCGACAGACTGTGCTGTTCATGGAAGCCACTATTGCATTTATTAAATCTCACCCGTACATACATTGCAAAACTAAGCTGACTTCAGGCACAGGCCAACTCTGAGAGAAGTGCTAAGAAGCCTCTATGCAGAGGCCAAAAGAGAGGGACAGATCTTTGGGAAAAGAAGGAACTTGGCTGAATTGCTGAAATTCTACTGGCTGGACTCTTAACGAGACCAGATTTGTGGTTGTGAAAGCAGTTAAAGCTCATGGGGGTTGCTGCCCCTGGCACCCAGGGGTCTGGCAAAGAACAGAGTGCTGGGTGAAGGAGAGAGTGGCAAAGGATAAAATGAGAATCAATCCAGCTGTCTTCTTCATCTTATTCTGGAACAAATTGGGGTGCTGCTCCATAGATGGCCAATTCATTTAGAGCAAAGCAAGCTTCACTGCCTGCCTTCTCATTGCCTCTCAGCCCGAAGGTCTGCAGAGAGGTTCAGCGGGGCAGTTGTTAATGACGCCTGTAATTCTGGCACTGGTTTACTACCTCTGCTGTTTCAGGATGGGAAGGGGTGACAAGGCTTTTCTCCCCTGGCGCATCGAGGTGTGTGCACGCATGGAGCGAGGAACGTGCCTTTCCCTTCCTCTTTCTTGCGGAGGCAGTGCAGGGTCGGTTTTGTTAGCCAGGCGTTAGGCAGAGCCAGGCATGTCTTGGCGTATTTACCCGGCCCCGGATGAACAGCATGACCTCCCGCTGGGGAAAGTTAATCCGCATAACTGTATTTGAAATCTTCCTGTTCTTCAGGGAGCTGCTTTGCCACTTGGTGAAGATTAAGTTGGATGGTTATGACCTTGACAAGAATAAGGCTCAGTCTCTAGAGGATTATGTGAAGACCTTCCTAGATGGAGAGGTGAAGCCCCTTTGGCCAAAAGGCTGGATGCAGGCCAGGTGAGCAAGAATCAAGTTGTACTCCAGGGATTCCTTGTCATAAGGGACCTCAGAAGGTCATTAGTCCTACCCCTGCTCAAAGAAAGGCTAGCTTCAAAGTTAGACCAGAGTGCTCAGGGCCTTGTCCTGTGGAGCTTTGGAAAAGGATGGAGATTACCACAGCATCTCTGTGGCCCCTGTTCTGGTACTTAATCACTTTTCGTGAAATCTTTTCTCCTTATTTCCAGTCAAAATTCCCGTTGCTGCACTGAACTGAATATTCACTCTTTTTGCTTTTTACTGTGCACCTTTGAGAAAGGTCTGGCTCCATCTTCTTTGTGGCTCCCTGCCCCCACCCCCACTCTTTAGATAGTGGAAGACTGCTATTAGGTGCCTCCTTGGTCTTCTCATTTTCCAGGCTAAGCCAACCCAGTTCCCTCCACCTCTCCTTGTATGTCACATGTCCCTGTTCCTCAGCCACCTTAGTGGCTCTGGACTCTCTCCAGTTTGTTGACATCTCTCTTGTATTGTGGGGCCCCTGAAGCTGGATGCTGTATCCAGATGTGACCTCGCAAGTGCTAAACAGGGGGTGCAAGCACTTGAATTGCTGACTGTGCTCTTGCTGATACTTGCGAGTATGTAGTTAGCTCTCAGCAGTACACCCTTGCAGCAGTGGCTCATGTTCAACTTGTCCACCAGGACCCCTGGGTCCTTTTCTGCAAGGCTCCTACGTAGCCAGTTGGCCCCCAGCCTGTGTTGCTGTGTAAGGCTGTTCCATCTCAGCTGCAGGACTTTGCGTTTGTCTTTGTTGAACTTCACAAGGTTTGTGTTGGCTCCTTTTTCCAGCCTGTCCAGGTCCCTGTGAATGGCAGCCCTGCCCTCCAATGTATTCTCCCCACTCCCTCCCTTTTTGTGTCACGCTCAGACTTACTGAGAGTGCAGTCTGTGCTGTCATCCAGGTTGTAAAGTACAGTGTTGAGTAGCCTTGGCCCCCGTATTGACCTCTGGATGCCACTGGCAGCGACAATTACAAGGTAGAACCAGGACTGAGGTGAGGCTGACTGGCCTGTGGTTTCTTGAATCTGTATTACAAAGGATTGCTTTGTAATCTGTCTCATGAAGGATGCATTTTTCAGACACTTTGGGAAGTCTTCCCTAGAATATTCCCAAAAGAAAGCAAAACAGAAAGTTTTAGGGCCTTTGGACGTGCACTGGGCGCATCAGAGAGCAGAGTAGGTAGGAATTTGGTGTGGTTTTCTTTACCCTATCTGCTGTCTTCACTGCTGTTTCCTGCTCTTTCATGCCCTCCATCATCCATGCCATTGAGCTGGCAATTGCAGGGAGCCATGCAAACTGCAGAGAGGCATTCTGCTGGGACGGTCATCAGCTTCTGACCTGCTTTGTTTTGCTCAATAATTTTAAAGAAAGGACAACAGTAGAGTCTTACTGCTGGAATCTTTATATCGCTTTGCATTGAAAGAGCTGGGCAGCGCTGTCGTCTTCTCTCTGCTGATTTGCTTTTTGGATTTCATGGGGGATAAAGCAAGAAGTAGGTACCAGTTCGTAAGAGCAGTAAGTACAAGTAGCACATTACAGATCCGTTTGGAAAAGTCCATGGCCATTTAGTGCAGTTGCATGTGCACATGAAGTACAGTAATGTGCATGGTTGTAGCGTGTTGGTTTAGTGTACGGGAGCTGAATGATGGCATTAAGAGGTGGGTGCAGATTCCTACTTAGTTAATGAAGATGTTACCAGCTTGAGGGTCTTAGCTTGCCAAGTTTTAAAAGCTCTTTTCTTTGAATGAAAGGAAATTAAAATCTTTTCCCCCTAGTTTGTAGGTGAAACTGTTCTTAGGCGTACAGATTTCCCCCTAAAACTCAGCGTAGGAGGGCCTTCCATTGAAGTTAACTACAGAATGACTGAATCAAAGTGGTTTCCCTGGCTGCTTTCCAATGGCTCAAGGACAATGGCTTCTCCTGCTGGGACTTGATGGAGTTGGGCTTGATGATCCTTACGGGTCCCTTCCAGCTTGAGATATTCTGTGACTTTGTGGTTTAAAGACTGAGGGGAGACTGGCAGCCACACAGAAGGGGAGGGAAGGGATTGGCAACGCTAGGAGAACTGTAAACAACTTTATGGTCAAGTTAGCCTGATTCACTGTCATCGTGATCACAGAAGCTCATCTTTAAGAGCAATTTGAAGAGGGACAGAGTAGCGCCTTTGTGTATGAGTTCAGAGAGGCCCTGCCATGATTCTGTTTTTTCAGGTAGCGCCAAAAGGCGATTAACGGAATATAAGGTTAAAATAAGCTTCCTTTTTAAAATAAAAAGGATGACAGAAGTCTTTGCCAGACTGTTACTAGCAGTCGGGAAGTATATTCCGTATACCAGTATCGAAGCAGCATTTATAAGCTTCTCACCCTGACAGCTAAGAGAGCAGCTGGGTGGCAGCTGGTTTAGGTGAAATTGTGTTTGTGTGAGATTCTGCTTTGAGTTTGCCTCAGTAGTAAAGGGTTTTGGATGAAGCTCTATAGGTTGTGGTTGGTCAATTGTTACAGGACTGGTTGTGTTGATTTAAGAAGTCACCTCAGCCGTTTGCTGGGGACGGAAAGGCAAGAGACACGCAGTGTGCGAAGGCTTCTCATCCGTATCGCCGTACTGAGGCAGGGGAAGGTAACCTTTCTCCCTTGAAGTTGGTGAAGAGCTCTTGGATGATCTGCCCATTGTTGGGCGATCTGTGGCAGCAGTAATGCCCAGCTTGAACGGTGGTACTGCCTCTCCAGTTGGCTGTCAGCTTTTTAAGCTGGCAGAACTTTTTCCTTAGTTATTGTCCAACAACCGCCTTAATGGCCTTTCCAGCGCCTACAAGTATAGCTCCCCAGAGAGGGAACTGCGTGGGGGAGTTCAGGAGGATTTTCCTGGAAAAGGGATGATTATTTGTTTGCTCTCTGTGGTTTTAACTTCACCAAGTCCCCTGCTGTACTGTGCAGCTCTATCTCCAGTGATCCCAGCTGCTCTACTGGGTCTTGCTGGATATCACTTCTCATTGCTCTCTTCCCTTCTTAGGACACTGTTTAAGGAGAGCAGGCGTGTACACGGACACCTCACATCAGTCCTGTGAGTATCGCGCAGCATTCCTTTGGAGTGATAACTGGTGAACTCCGTTCCCTGGGGCCTGGGTGGATCACGCAGGAGTACCTGAGCTTGCTTGGCTCCCATCAGATAGTTTGGCGCTGCTTCATTTGAGGAGGTCTAGGGAGAGTAGTTGTTTGTGTGTGACATCTCCCAGCAACAGCCTTCCTGAGGGGCTATAGCCTTACAATAAGCTCCAAGATAAGAACTTTGAAGCCAGGTTGCCTCCTGCCCTTGTTCAACAGACTGGAGTCAGGCCTCTGTGCTAGTCCCTGGGAGGCAGATCAATGTAAAATGGAGTGTGATGCCAGCACTGTGACTATTGCTACCTGTTCAGTTGGTCCTTACTGGATTCTGGATTCCCTCTTTCTTGTTGCCTGGTTAAAGGAGGGGTACAATGAGCTCAGGCTAGTGAAGGTGGGTGCAACAGGCTTGTGGGTGGCAAACCAAGAGAGCCATCGGAATCCAGCTGGGCAGGTGCTTTAATGCCAAAGGGTCCCATGGATCTTGCTGGCAGTCTATAATAGATGACGATACGGACTTAGGCTGATGTCTGTTTGACAGACAGTCCTGTTCTTGGCACTGGATGAGTGAGGGGGACTGTGAGAAAGAGAGTATGAAATAGAGTGTAGAGTCATCCTTCCCTCAGCCATATCATTCCAGCAGTTCAGGGATGTCTTGTACCAGAGATTGCATCTGACCAGACCAAATGATCTATTTTCCGTGAATTTGGCAGATGCTTTTGCATCCTTGACTTCTTCTGGGAACCTAAAAGAAATGTGTAACTTTTCTCCAGAACAGTCTCTGTACCAGTTTCTCTCTGGGTGTTGCTCTAGTTAGGTCAGCAGTGGGTTCCTGTGGTAGCTCCTAGCCCTGCGGCCGGTGCAGGTTGTGTCTGTTGAGTGCTTTCGCTGCTCTGCTACCATTTCAAGACTGCTCCGCTCCCTAATTCATTCCCCTGTGTGGGAGTTGGGGCTTCCTAGAGCAGCAACTAAATGTCATACGGTTTTGAATCCTAGCAACCTGAGATGCTGCCTCTGTTCCCTCGGTTCTTTGCAAAAGACTCAGTGGATCATCATTAACAGGGCCCAAGTGTGCTCCCTAATTGGATGCTTCCCTGCGGGCATTCAGTGAGCCATGTTTCTTTTGTCTCTTTCAAAACAGGGCGAAGAAGAAAGTTATAGCTCCTACTAAGGTGAAAGTGAAGGTGAGTTCATTGTTTTCTGGTTCTCATGGTTGACATACACCAAGAGTCAAGCGTCTGCCATCTTAAATCCTGGATTTGAGCCTTGTGTCTATACATTAGGTACAAGGAAGTTGTACTGTGAAATAGCTCTCGTATTGGGCTTGAAAAAACCAACTAGAACAGCAGCTCAAGTTGATGGCAGCAGCAGTTGGGAGGGAGGCGGGGAGCCAATAGGCACAGGACATGCCTGTTCTGTCTTTTATCCCCAAATCTGGGAACCTTCCCTTCCCTTTTCAGCAGTAAACCCTGCTTCTGTTCTGACTCTGCCTTCTCTTGCAATTTTGTTCCAGGAATCTTCCTGCAAGCCAGATAAAAAGGTTTCAGTTTCTGTTCCTTCAGTGCACTCAAGCAGCACCTTAGCTCTGTCTTCAGAGCCCCAGGGAGGAGCTCTGGGCATCAGTGCCCAAACCAGAGAACTCTTGTCCCTTGGGACAGCCCAAGCAGCCAGCAGCACTGGCGCTCCTGCTACCTTCATGGATGACTCCTTGGATGAGGACTTAATTCATAATCCCACGTCCTCCCTCGAAGCAGTCTCTAAGGAACTGGCTGTGCTGAACAGCAGAGCGGGAGGGAGCCCTGACTTCACTCTTCCTGGAGCTTCAAAAGCTCCACCAGAGAAGATCCCAACTCTTGCATCCTCAGAGGAGAAGAGGACATTTCCAAAGTCCAACCCTTCCCCTACATCATCCTCTGGTTCCCTCCAGTCTCCTCTCAATTTCCTGGCTGAGCAGGCCCTGGCACTGGGCCAATCTTCTCAAGATAAAAAGGCAGAGAACTCTAATTACAAAGAGCTCTCCTGCCAAGCCTCCCCCAGCAAAATCCTTCCTGATGCACACCAGGCTAAACAGAAACACCACAGCCTGGTCCGGCCAAGCCACGGGCCTCAGACCTCCACCCCAGTGCCGGGGTCTCAGGTGAAGGTCTTTCACTCAGGCAGCCAGCTACAGAAAACTTTCACCTCCCCGGCTCCGTTTGTCAAACTCCAGAATCCCAAGTCCTCCTCCCCACTGCCCCAACGTTCCCTCCTCCAGCAGGTCAAGTCATCAACCAAAGCTCAGAGCTTCCATTCCTCTGCATCACCAGGCAGCACCCAAAACTCTGGCAGCTCCCACAAGAGCCCAGGCTCATCCTCATCATCCCTCAGCTACACAGGAAAGCACTCGAGTGGCTCCAGCTCTTCAGGACAATCTTACAAGTCGCCCTTCGTTTCTGGTTCCCTCTCCAAGCATGGGGCTTCTTCTAGCAGCTCTTCATCTGGAGCTTCTGCAAACCAGGGCTGCTCCTCTGGGAGCTTGCTGCCCGGTGTGCAGAACCCTTCCTTGGGCCAGGCATCCAGCCGCCCGTCCTCCAGCTCCTCGGTGAAGAAGACTCCTGTTTCGCAGAAGCTGACTCTGGTGGCACCTCCTGGAGGTTCAAACGGAGATTCTAGTGGGGGCACTCAAGGAGTGGCCAAATTGCTGACCTCCTCCCTAAAGCCAGCTGTTGTTAGCAGCACCGCATCTTCTACCTCTGTGCCGGTAAGCAGGGGTGTGCTGGCCTAGGAGAACGCGTGGCGCTGTGTCAGGCCGTCTCCTAACTTGATCAGACCTGCCGCGAAGCGATGACTTCAAAAGAATTTCCTGAAATTCTTGAATGACTGTCTGGATCTTGGCTGCTTAGGCTAGGAAGTCCTGGCCTTTGCCATGGGCTTGCGTTCCAGAATTCAAGCTTTCATTTTCAGCTTAAAGTAACAACTAAGCAAAATACTGTTCAGTAATGTCTCACGAAGGCCTCCTGGGTTACTTACTCAGACTCGTATTATTCAGCCATTGTGTTTAATGGTATCAGGAACTTAATTTTCACATATAGCAAAAAAGTAATCACTCCTAATGCCGTTGTATTAATTTGTTGTTGGCCGCTCATACCTGCCTTCTGTGGCACGTAGAAAGAGCTGGGCGACTAAATGAGTGTATTTAAATGGGCCTGAAAACCACGTACTGCTCAGCCTGTGTACCTCATCTGTTACTGAGGCAGAGAGCTGAAAAGCATTTCCCAGTGGTGTGTCTCTCTGTGGGAGACATCTCTGATAACATTCCTGGGGGCAGGGGTATGCCAAACCTTGGTGCCTTGAGTTGCCAGCAGTGACATGCTGCGAGAAGTGAGTAGGAAGCATCCTCCCTGGAACTCACAGGCAGTGTGTAAGCTTTTCCTCTGCCTAATGGAGGCACAGTTCCAGAGTAAAGGAACAACAGAGTGAAATCCAGTATGGTCACATGTAGAAGAGCATAGCAGCCACCAGCTGGATTGCCCATGTCCTGGGCACCTCCAGATGGCCTCAGGAGTTGGCAGCTTGTGGGCCCTGGCGGGGGGAGGGCACTTCTTGCAAGGAGGAATGCTCGAGCGCTCTGTGTTTTGCAGCTCTTCTTTAAGTATGGATGATGCTGTGCCTTGGTTTTCCTGCTCCTGATTGACCATTTCTGTTGCTTTTCAGAAAGGAACTAGTGGAGCTGTGCTGCTAACGAGTTCTTCCTCCTTAAGTGTACTGGCTCCATCCTACAAGTCCAGCAATCCAAAGCTGCCAGCTGCCCTGAGCTCCACCCCACTAGGTATTATCTCTCCTATTCATTCCTTCCCTCTTCATGTCATCTCCTTCAGTTCAGACTCCTCCCCAAAAGCAGGAGTATCAAAGGATGCAATAGTGACGGGACCTGCTCCAGGAACTTTCCACCATGGCCTTGGCCACAGTGAGTATCCTCACGCATGTGTGTGTTACTTGTGCTTGTGCCGTCCGGTAACGAGAATGCCAACGCTCTGCTGTGTTAACCCATTGCAGACCTACCCATCTCTCTGGCTGTTGCTTCATGCTGTAGTTCGTGCACTTATATCTCCAGCAGTTGCATTTGGAGAACCTTGGGCACATCCTTACAGCTAGCCCAGAAGTCCCAATGGCTGGAAGCTGAACTATAGGCTAACTGCTGCAGTTCTTCTGCTCATTTCTGTCTTCGATGTGTATTTGTTCTTTTTTTTCTTTTTTTTTTTTTCCCCCCCCCCCTCTCCTTTCTTTGTTTTTCTCTCTAGGTCTTCTAGCTGGCTTGCACTCCAGCCCCCACCACGCAGCGCCACTCCCACATTCTGCCCTGTCCACTCATTTACCGCAAAGTTTGCCAGGTAACTTGTCAGACCGTCGTGTTTGTCTTCTGCGTCGTGAGTCATCCTGTATCTCGGCAGATAATTCCTCTAGGGGTGAAAGCAAAGTCGTTGTCGACGTTGTCTGACCGGCACGGTTGTCGCTAAAACCTGCGGCCTCCCCGAGGTACAACACGAGGCGTAGCCCCCCCCCCGTGTCCTTTACTGTTTAGTGAGCCAGGGCAAACTTGTGCCTTTCTGGAACGATGAGCCCTCGGTGCTTGTAGCAAGCGTTGGTTCCTGGAGGTACTCAGCTTTGCTGCTTGCGTTGTGGTGAAGAATTATCCTGCCGGGATTAAAGCTGTACATGTTTATGCACAGTCTGCCAGGACGGCCCAGGAATGAATATTCTGGCTCGGTGGAGTTTTGTTTCTGGTGACCTACATAAAATGTGTCAGCCCAGAATGTCTTGTGTCTGTGCTCTGAGCTAATTGCCTGCATCTCCTTCGCGACAAGTTTGCAGTGTAAATGAAGACTGCTGTACTTGGTGTTGACAGCGCGGTGATTTTGCAGTGAAGCCTGATCCTGCCCCAGTTTGATGCCTGCAGAAGCAACGCATAAACCGAGAGATTTCTAACGAACGCCTTCTCTGCTTGCAAAGGGAGTCCTGCCTGGCGGGCTGTGAGGGTGTGTAAATGTGTAGCGCTGTGGAGGAAGGAGAGAAGTAAGGGGGATCCATGCAGCACTCAGAAAATTGAAATGCAGGGCCAGCAGGGCCTTATCTCCTTCAGGGAGTTGCTTATTCCATTGGTAATTGCTATTTCTGTTCTCTTGATCAGAGTCTTTACTTTGATCAAGTATCTTTAGGTCTTTGGTGCAGTTCAGTGCCCCTGTCGTAATAGCTTGTTGTGATTGTCGTCCTGGGCAATACGAGCCTGATTTAGGAGCGGATGCGCTAGCCCAATAGTGTGGCACCGAGGCCATTGGATGTGTGGATAACTGCTGGGGTTGATGTGGCCTCCCGTAGCACTCCTGGGGTAACATGCCCTCGCCCGCTGAGCACAGTGCTGGTGTGATGAACAGAGTGTTGTGCACCGGTGAAAATTCAAGGAATTTGTTGTCTTTGCTTCTTTTGCTGGAGCTTGTCCGAGGCAGGTTGTTCTGCTACTCGGATGTGGTGGAGCAGCAGAAGGTGCTAGCAGCAACCACCAGTGTGGCAGACCCTTCCTTCCTGCTTGTAAAGTCACAGTTACTGGAGAGCGAGGTGATTGATTTTGGTTTGAACGTGGGATGTGAGATGTATCTGTGTCGCTGAGGAGGAGTTCTCTGTCCCGTTATTTGAGGCAGTTTCGAGTGGTTACTCCACTGCTGATTATAGGGCTTATAACAAAAGAATTTTTTGATGGGCTGCTGCTCTTAAGCAGGACAGCGTGAGAAGCTGTGAGCAGACAAAAGGTGACTAGGAATAAATGAATTAAAACTGACCCTTGAGACAGCTTCAGCAGGGACCCGCTTTCTCACCTGGTGTTTGCACATAAAGATTGGGGCTTGTGCCTAGTGCCGTTGTCTCTGGCAATATTACCAGTTGTGGTGTTTTGTAGAAGACAGCAAATATTTAAGTGACCACCACAGTCTTAAAATGCATTCATTTGTTTTGTGGCATAAACTGTGGTTGGCTGTATAAGCCAATGGCTACAGCTGCTTGTCTGAAAATGGCGAGGACTCTGGTGCATTGGGAGGTTACTACAAATGCAAGGAAATGTCAGTGTCTTAAACAGAAGTGCTTATATACCAGCATTCATCAAAAAGCATTTGAGCAAGGAGCATCCAGTGCTTGCTTGTGTGTTTGTCACTGCTGCATTTGCTGGTGGAGGTGCCTGTGTGCTGGGGCTGTGGTGATGGTTCCGACTGCTCGCTTCCAAAATGCGACGTGCTGGGACTGAGCTCTTGCATGGAATGAACTTTCCTTGTCCTGGAGAAGAGGCTGTTGCTACGCTGCTCGGTGCTGCTGCTGCTTAACTGCACATCTCAGTACACTCATTTGTTCGTAATAGTCCGATGGTAGTTCTAATTGCTCCTGGAAAACTTCTGCTTCCTTAAACTTCCTTCCTTTTTCTCTCTTGGGTGCATTTTCTCTTCTCCCTCCATGTCTGTTCCTTTCTGTTACTTCACTGGTTAGATTCCTGTGATTCCTGTTGCTATCAGTGGGCACCTAAAGCCTTCATTACAACAGCAAAGGCATACCAACAGTGTTACCTGAACCACCTTTAGAAGCAAGGCAGCCAGTACCATGTATTTCTAGTTTCCTAGATGGGGAGACGTGGTAGGGTGGCTTTTAGGGAAGGGCACAGGCTAGCTGGTCAACCAGCAACCCGAATCTGTGCCAGTGCTTTTGCTGGGAGGCCACAGAGACCCTCCGTGCTTCCCCTGTCCCTGAGTCAGGGGCAGAGACAGAGCTGCTCCCTGTTGTGAGATGTCTCCAGGCACATCCTCTTACCCCCTCATTCCTTGGAGCTGGAAGGGAAAAAGTAGGCTTTCCTCTGTGGAGGGATCTGGCTGCCCCAGCTGCACGCAGCTCCAAGGAGCTGATGCCAAACCCCCTTCCCACTTGGTTTTATTTTCTTTCAGATGCTTCTCAGCTTCACGGCAAAGGGTCCAATGCACAGCAGCGCAAGTTGTGACGTCTGCAAGGAGGGGAGCTAGAGCACACATAGGATAAAACCAAGAGGAACAGGTCATGAACTTTTGGATACCGGCTGTGTCTTTTTTTTTTTTTTTTTTTTAAATTTTTCTTTTTTTTATATTTTTAATCTCATGACAACTGGAGAGACTGAACCGCAGTGAGGAGCTCATTGGTGCGTTTGCTCAGAGGCTTTCAGAGCGAAGCCCCACACAAAGGGCCACCTTGAGCCATGCCCTAATGAGCGAAGCATTTTGTAGCACTGTTTTATTGCTGCTGCCCTTCGCATTCCCGGGCACTGGCAGGAGCTAGAAGTTGCAGGGAGACTCGGGTGGCTTGGCTTTCTTGCAGGGGATCCCCACCCACCTGTGTCCGTGTCTGCCAAGTACCTCCAAGTCCAGTTGCCTCCTTGGTCTCCCAGTGGAGGGTAGGAAAGGTGCTTCTTTCTTCTGCTTTGGATTTACTTGGATAATTCTAGCACTGCCAGTGCTTTCTGAAGACATTTGACTAACTTTTCAATTGTACTATAAAACTGTGCTACAGTTAATCGGAGGACTTAACGTTTCCTGTGTGGTGAATCTAACGAACCACCTGATGTTCCCCTCTGGAGGAGAAGGAAGACTCTTTAGAGAGACATTTTTAGATGCAGTCATTGACTTTGAGAATTCGACTTCTTTCGGGTTTTGGATTATTTTTTTTCCTCCTGCTCAGTTTTATCCTCATTACCATTGAATGCATTGGATTGAATGGGACACCTCTCGGCATGTCACATGTATAGGAAGACATAATTCCAGTGCCTTTTATGGTGGAGCAAGAATGGACTAGTGACACACATTTCAGCCCTGTTTTGTGTGCTCCTCAACCCTTTTTTAATCATTCTGTATTTAAAATGTATTCTGTTTTATTTAATAGAGCTTTTTATGGTTGCACATCAAAAAAAAAAAAAAGCTGCACTGTCTGGACTTCAATGGTGTCTCGGTGACTGTGAACACAGTACCAAATCCAGCAAGAGCACCAGTTCTTATCCGAGTTTGTGCAGACGGGTTCCAGACCCTCCCCTAAAGCCATTCTTTCCTAGGGTCGTCAGTTATGATCTCTTCGGTGGGCAGAGGGAATGATCTAGATTAACCAAGGTCACTACTAGTCAAACAAATTCCAGAGAATAATGTTGCTCTCCTCGATGATTTCTGCACTAGGATCATGTGCTCGTCACAGCTGCAGGAATGGGGACCATCTAGAATTGGGGTGTGTCTTGTCTTTTTAATTTTTTTAACTCTTAGACCTAAATCCTTCTCTAAGCTAAGGGCAGGCTGTGGGTTCCAACTGAGCTTTATGGGCTTTGATTTTCTGCTCTTCCCCCAGCCTGCCTTTTCTCAGGCCCCCGCAGCCACATCTGGATCGTGCAGTGGAAGGGCTGATCCACATAGGCTTTACTGGTAGTTCAGGCAAAAGCCTGCAGCCTTCCTTCGCGAGCTTTGGGGAAGGATGCTGACACTGAGTGTACCAGCGAATATCTGCTTTAGTTTTTCCCCATTTTTGGTCAGATCCAAGATGGACTGTTTTCAATTTGAGCTGATGCGTAATTTCCCAAAATCAGTGCATTGTTTGTATTTAAAAAAAAAAAATGAAATGCAGCTCAGATTTAACATTTGTTTACAGAAAATACCTAGGTTGTAGCAAAAGAGCCAAAGACAGAACTTGTGTTATTAAAACTAAGCACAGCGGTTACGGATGGACTCTGAGCAGTGGATGTCGCATGGTTCCCGTTGAAGGCCTAATCCTGAGAGGTACTTTGCACCCTCAACTTCCCATGGTAGCTGAAAGAGGGGTCAAACGCCCGGCAGGCTCGGGATGCTCAGCGAGTGACTCGAGGTACTGGTTCTACTCCCTCTCTTTGCTTTCACTTGAATGCTTCTGCTGGGAAGCACCCGTGTGCGTGGCCAGAGCAGAATGCCCTCCTTCTAGGAATTTAGCGAAGCCTCTTGCCTCAGGGAAATGTTTATTTGGCGGAAATTCTGTGGGATATTTTTTTTCTTTACATGCTATAATGAATGAGTGAATGGTACGGAGCAGAGTCGCAGCAAGGCAGAACCACGCAGAGACCTGACAGCTGACGGGGAGCCAGGGGTCTGGCATCTCTGCCTTGACGGGGCAACTTGCAACGCTTTCGTGACGGTGTGGGGAGGCGAGGCTCCCATGGCACTTACGTAGTATGGCAGTTCCTTTCGGGTGTAAGAGCTGCGGTTTATTATTTTTTTTATTTTTTTTTTTTTGTGTGTGTTGGGACTGTCTTGCTGAAGATAGTGGGGGTGGTATAAAAACTGTTAATCTTGTACAGAACAACTGAATAAATTGTTTCAAAGTTTCCAAAATGCTTTTTTCCATCCTCTCCTTACCTCGAGTTTCATGACTTTGTTTCCAAAAACTTGTCTTTCAGCTTAGATGATCACCTCTTGATCATCTTGTTTCTTGAGCGAGGAATGAATTATTTACTGCTTTTAACTCAAGTCTCTTACGTGGTAAGTAACCGGCAGCTCTGTTTCTAACCACGGTGGTGGTGGAATTGCATATTCTCATTCAGCGTGCTCCTCCTGATGCTCAAGGTTGGCATCTGGGAAGAACCCATGGGGTTCAGACCCTGGAGCAACAGTGTGATCCTGCCTCTGATCCTTCCATTTGCAAACGTAAAATAATGGTGTTGACCCCCAAAGCCAGGAGGGATGTACAGCAAATGCTTATGGCTGCTTGTGTTGATGGCAGCATTTGCTAGCATCGGGCATTAGCCGAAATTTGGGAAGAAGGAAATGAACGTGCTTTCGATGTCAAAGCCCCTGGTACCACCCCAGTGCAATTCCCTGTTTTCCTGCAGCTGCAGACCCATTTGTTAGTGCGGTTCACTCCTGTCTCATGCTGCTAATTAGTCCCAGCTCTAATGCCGCTCCAGCAATTTCCCTCTTGGAAAAGAGTCAACAGCTAAAAACAAAGTCTGGGGTTTTTAACTTTGACTCTGAAACAGCACCTTTCGGTAAAGCTGAAGACAAAGAGGCTGCCATAATTAATAAAGAAAAACCAACTTCTGATTGGAACCACTGCCCTTTTATTTTGTACTATAAATAGAATTCCCCTCTATTTCCCATTCCCTTACACAAGTAAATGAAACGTGTAGCTGCATGTAACTCCATCCAGTAAAATACCAGCACAGATGGCTCTTAACCATGAGGTAAGCTAACTGTGTTTCGAAGGCACTCTGCGTTTGGGTACAGCTGCAGGCCTTACACTACCCTCTTGCCTTTGGCAGTACTGCCCTCTCTTCACGTACGTCTCGGTGATCTCTGTGCTGTGTGAATGCTCCTCCTGGATCTACGGCTGACGCCATCAAATTACATCTGCTTCCCTCTTCCCCAGCAGCCTAGGCACGTAGGTGAACAAAATGATGGTGGTTAGGTGTTAATGCGGCGATACTGAATTGAGATGTGCAGCACACCTTGTTTCTTACAGAGCTGGTTTTCTCAGAGGACGATCCCATCATTTAGTCAGTTGTCCGCGATGAAACTGTCTGGCTTACCAACATGCAGCTGACGTAACCCCAGCTCCTGCCGGTCACCTCGGAGTCATCTTGACCTTCAGTCTCTCTAACAGCTGCTGTATACAGCTTTTTATGCGACTACGTGAGTATATGTTGAGGAAACTGCAGGTTCTACTGGGTCTTTGGACTTCAGGTACTTCACTGTCCTAAGGCGTTTTGTCTTGGGTTTTGTTAGGTTAGGAGTGACTAGGTAGGGGTGAAGAGGGGGAGAAGGTTTTGCTGTAGTCTTGACAAATGTGTTTTCCACTACTGGTGGTGCTTTCCTGCAGTGCATGGCAGCAAGCAGTGTGGCTTCGTAGCATGGCTGGGGCAGAGGCTGTAGCGTTTTGGAAGACGCAGAGGAGGGCAAGGGTTTGCAGTGATCTGGTAGTCTAACAAGTGGTGCAGCTCTGACTGGCTGCTCTTAAGAAAAAAAATTTCTAAAGTGGAGGGAGCGCTGTGTAATTACTTCCAGACACCAAGACTGCCAACTCCTGGATCGACATCTCCTTGTTGAGGTAACAGTTGTACTGAGCCATGGTTAGCCTTCCACTCTTCAGGGCATCCTCAATTGAGAACTTTCTACCAGACTTTCTGTCGAGGATCACGGACGATTCCCCGTTGGGACCCTTTATTGAGATCTCCTCCCAGTCACATTCCTGACTCTTCAGTTTGACAAACAGGCTCCATTCAATGAGGCCAAACACATGAGCTTCCTCTGGAGACATTTCTTTTCCTGTATCGGGGTCAATGACCACAATGGAGCGCCTCAGGTGGTTCTCTCTTTGTTCCCTCTTGATAGCCACTGTCTTGAGGCGGTTCTGGAGTTGCTCTATCTCTGCGTCTTTTTCTCTGGATAACTGCTTCAGATCATCTAACTCTCTTTCCAAAGCTTGGAATCTGGAGTCCAGGTTTATTCCACTGTCCACGTGGGTCATGTTTCTCAAATCCCGAGCTTCTGTTGCTGTGAGTTCAATCTCTGACTGCAGTCTCCTTGTTTCCATCAGCAGGTTCTGTTTCTCAAGGTGTAGTTTGTGGTTTTCCTCCCTTAACAAGTCTAGCTCCTTTGATGACTTGGAGTTGTTGAATTCCACCTCGGACAGCCTGGTTTCGAGGCGGTTGATATCTGCATCCAGCTCCCTCTTACGCCTACTTTCTTCTTCCAGATTGCTCTTCAGCTTTTGAATCTCATACTCCGTGTCTCCTTTGTCCACTTGGACGCTCTCTGAAAAGACCACTTTCTCTTTGACCTCCATCTTCTCCAAAGAAAGGAGCTTCTTTCTCAGGGCTTCTAGTTCAGTTTGCAAGACTTGTCTCCGGTGCTTCTCTTCTTCTAGCTCCAGCTTGAGGAGGGAGTGCTCCTTCTCTTGCTGGGGATCTTGCTGAAGGATCACTTTCTGTTTCACGGTCACTCGTTCTGTTGTCTCCCTCTCCTGCTCCTCCAACTCATTCAACCTAATCTTCAGCCTCTGCACCTCCAGTTCAGCCTCCCTGCGGGCCTGTCTCTCTTTCTCAAGTTCCTCGAGCTGACGCTCGAGCTCAGACCGCCGCCGCTGCAGCTTGCGGAGTTCTTCACGGAGGCAATCGATTTGCTTCAGCTCGCTCTCGATGCTCTGAGAGAAGGAGCTGACCTCAGCTTTCAAGGCAGGATCTTGCTCGTACTTCACTACTTCCTGTTGGACCACTTTCTCCTTCACCTGGGAAAGTTCTTCCTCCTTCTGTCTTACTTTCTCTTCTTGGAGTAGCCGCTCCCTCTCCAGGTCAACGTGTTTCATCTGTTCCTCTGCTAGCTGCACTCTCAGAGACTCTACCTCCTCTCTAGTCTTGGGGTCTTCCCGAAACTGCAGAATCTCTTGAACAACTTCCTTTGTATGCACTTGAGGTTTGGTGTCTTTCAAAGCTTGTATCTCTTGTTTCAGCTGGTAGATCTCAAGGTCAGCTCTTTCGATTGCTGCGGTCCTCTCTATGATTTCCTCCCGGAGTCGCTGTAGCTCCTTTTCGGTTTCTGGATCGTTCTTGTACTTAATGACCTCCTTAATGACTTCTTTGACTTCTACCAGTGGCCCCCTGTTCCTCAGAGCAGCCAACTCGTTCTGGCAGCTCTTCAGCTGTTCGTCACCACCTCGGTATCTCCTCTCCTGCTCGACCAGCTCCAAACGAAGGTTGGCAACTTCATTTTCAGCCTTGGGATCTGGGCGCACAATCTCACGCACTTTCTCCTGGACAACCACCTTGGCGTTCTCTTCCTCCAGCAGCTGGATCTTCCTGAGCAGCTCAGCCTTTTCCCGCTCGTTGGAACGACCCTTGGACTTCTCATCTTCGTACTGGCGCCGGAGCTCATTCACCTCTCTCTCAATGGCTAAGTCCTTCTCTACCTTCAGCACCTCCTTGACGGTAATTTTGCCCTCTGCGATGGCCCGTTCTTTCTCAAGACGTTTGAGCTTGTCCTGGAGGAAGCTGAGCTCTTCCTCGTGCTTCTGCCGAAGGGCGCTCTCCCTCTGCTTGTTCTCTTGCAACATCCGGAATTCCATCTCCAGCTGGGGATCGTTCTGCAGCTTCAACACCTCCTTCTCCGTTACCTTCTCCTGCTCTTTGTTCTTCTCACTGGACAGCACAGCAATTTGTTCGCGTAAAATGAGGACTTCATTCTCCCTGGTTCCTTCTTGCCTCCTGAGCTCTTCCAATTCTTCTTTGAGCTTCAGGATTTCATCAGCTTGAGCCTTGTCTTGTTCAATACGCAGTACCTCTTTCACTATATACTCCTGCCCTCCTTCCCTCTTCTCGTGCTCCAAAACGCGCAGCCTGATTTTAAGAGCCTCCAGCTCCTCCTGGAGCACCTGGTTCTTGCGCTGCTCTTCTGCCAGGTTCTGCTGCAGTTTGTGGAAGCTCTCTTCCAGCTGAGGGTCAGGCACTTTCTTCAGCAGTTCTTTCTTAACAACAGTTTCCTGGGGCTTCTGGTTTTGCAGGTGGACAATGTTGTTCTGAATGGCTTTGATCTCCGCTTCGAGCTGTTGCCGGCGCTGCGTCTCATCCTCAAGTTCTTTCTTCAACTTCCAGACTTCTTCCACGGGCCTTACGGATTTTTTGGTCTGGACAAAGTCTTGTGTCACTTGAACCTCTGGTTGCTGTTGTTGGGGGAAAAAAGAACGCGTAGTCAAACCCCCCCAAATACAATCTTTTTTTTTTTTTTGTGTTTGTTTTCAGTGCCCCCTGTGGCAATGTGACAGGAGGACGGGGAGCTTGGTTGACAGAGGTTGCCTACAGCAAATGCTGAGCAGGGGGTATTTGCAAACAGGCTGTTCTTGTGCTGCTCTGGGGATTCCCAGGCTGGGAAATGCTTTCTGCGATGCCTGTTGCTGTCAAAACAAAGCTTTTAGCCATGAGGGACGCTAATTCTGGCACGGGTTTGGCAAAAGAAGCGTGAAAATTTACGTGGAGCTTCCTAGGGTGAGTGGGAGATGAGACTAGGAAACACAGAGGGGGTGGTCTTATCTGTTTAAGTGTCTGCCAATGAATTATTTTGGAGGCCTGAAACACTAGCCAGATTTGTTTCCAGTCCAACTTGCAAAGGCATGCGTGTATGCCCCGGTGATCGCTTACCTGCCGCAGGAGGCTCTGAGCGAACTCCAGATTCTGCAGCCTCTGTTTATTCACAGCATTGACTTCGGTGAACTTGGCTGCCAGAACAGCTTCCTACAGAACAAAAATGCGTTGGGAAAAGGCGGTGGAACCAGGAGCGCTCAGTCAAGACTTGCTGCATAGAAACGATGGCCAGGCCCTAACGAAGTAACCCTGGGTGCTCCTCTAAAAACCTTCTATGGGGGCAATCTGCTGTGCTTCAGGGGAGGAAGAGTCATTCTCACGCGCGCGTGCTCTCTCACGGACGTACTGTACGTTTCCTGCTTGCAAAAAAAGATGCGGCCGAGGAAGAAGCGGGTGGACGCTTCTGGCTGCCCGCCTCGACAGGCAGGGGGTGAGTTTGGGGCAGGGAGCAAACAGATCCTGCATAAAGAAGGAGCTCATGGCCCGCTCTCGCTGTAGGTGTTTCTATCTAGCGTGCAGGCTTTGGTGGCGACGTCTCGCTCTCTCTTTGAAAGTCTCGGGAGGGGAAAAATTTCAGGGTTTTGGCTTTTTTTCCCCTCTTTCCCCTTTCAGAAGGGAAGTGCTAAATCCAGCATTTCCCCACTCTCGTTCTGGCCAGCCTAGTCCAAAAGAACTGAGTTAAGAATGATGAAAAACCCCTTCCTCCCTGATTCTCTGCCCTCCCCCGCAGTCCCCTCCAGGACCAAGGTCACAGACAGTAAATACAACTCTTTGCAAAACCCCCATTGGTCCCATGAGCTGTCCTCTGCCTTGGCTCGCTGTAGGCCACCCCTTCTTTACCTCCTCTTTCACTTTCGCGGCTGGAGACTGGAGCCTGGGCTTCTTGCTCGTGTACCCATTCCGGCCGTTCTCTAGGTCGAGGATGGACCGTAGCTTCTCTGCTTCCAACTCATAGTCCTGTGGGAAGAAGTTCCCAGAAGGAAAGTGAGGTTACCGGGTCCCCTTCACGCACAGATCCTTCCCAAACCCTGGCTTCAATGACTTCTTCCCTTGACCTGTGTGTTCGGTGAGCTGCTGAGGATGGTGGGATTTGGAGCACTTGTTGGCAGGACCTCTCAGCAGGTTCTGGGGTGGTTACTGCCCTGAGACCATAACAGCACAGCTGGGAGCACGTGCTGACCTTCCCATGGTCCTACTGATGCTGGGCTTGGAGTGGAAACCTGCTTTCGTGGACAATGAATCTAAGTTGCCATGCTAATGGCCACACAATGTCAATGTCGGAGCAGATATAGCCTGGTTTTAGCTCATCAGTTGACTGAGCAAGGGCACTAGGCTTGCTTTAGGTGGTCCTGGTAGGATGTAGGTGATTCTGCCCCTCTGCTCCACTCTGGTGAGACCCCCCTGGAGCCCTGCATCCAGCGCCGGGGGTCCCCAGCACAGGACAGACAGGGACCTGCTGGAGCAGGGCCAGGGGAGGCCCCAAAAATGATCCAAGGGTGGAACCCCTCTGCTATGGGGACGGGCTGGGAGAATTGGGGTGGTTCAGTCTGGAGAAGAGAAGGCTCCGGGGAGACCTGACTGCGGCCTTGCAGGGCTTAAAGGGGCTGGGGAGAAAGGGGGGGACAGACTTTTTAGCAGGGCCTGTAGCAACAGGACAAAGGCTGATGGTTTTAAACTAAAAGAGGGGAGATTCAGGCTGGATATAAGGAAGAGATTTTTTTTACGTCAAGGGTGGTAAGGCACTGGCACGGGTTGCCCAGAGAGGTGGGAGATGCCTCATCCCTGGGAACATCCAAGGTCAGGCTGGACAGAGCTCTGAGCAACCTGGTCTGGGTGAAGATGTCCCTGCTCCCTGCAGGGGGTTGGACTGGGTGACCTCTAAAGGTCCCTGCCAACCCAAACTACTTTTCTATGATTCTGTGTTGAAGTTCTCCCACCGGCAGAACCGCAGCCCTTACCTTCACTGCCTGCTGGTATTGCTGAGCTGTGGCGGAGACCTTCTGCACCTCCTGTTCCTTGCTTGCAATGTCACCGAGGAGCACCTGGCACACACAGAGATACGCGTCAAAGGGAACACAAAATCCAAGTGCCTCACTCAGCCTTTCTGAGGGTTGCTGGTAAAATTACAACTCTGAGAATTACAACCTTCTCGAGCTGCCCTGCTATGCGTAAACAAGGCACAGGTAGAACAGTGGGACCTTGTAATGTAGAAATAAATAAAGCTAATAAGGATTTATATTTTTCTGTTTTATGTTTGGGAGCTATCTAAGTTCTATTGCTTATCTTTCAGTGTTCCTTCCCCCCACCCCGTGGGGCCCAGCACTCTCGGAAAGAATTACCGCTTGGTTCTTCAGCTTCATTTCCACTTGCTGGACATTGTCGGTCTCCTGCGGCTCGTAGTTAGGGATGTTGCACAGGAACTGGTTGACGTTGTCGTAGTGGGTGCGGTAGTTAGAATAGGCACTCTTTGCTTTCTGCAGGGTCTGCGTTCTGTGGGGGAAATCAGCTCAGCTTCGGCACTGTCCCATCCCTTGTGTCTTCTGCAAACACCTCAACCCATCCCCGCTTCCCCTGCTCCCTAGAGGCACAGATTTGAGCCCGGGTTGTTCTCTTTCTAAAGGCCCCATCTCTGTTGCAAGAGCACTTAATCCAAAAGGCTGTGCATGCCAGGAACCTCTCCCTCTTCCTCAGCCCTCCCTGGGAGCCCTTTTGCAACTGCTCATTCCCATGACGTTGTTACGCCTCTTCCAGATTCAGTGGGGCTCCAACTCTGCTGTAAATATCCTGGGTCTCCAGGCTGGCCCTGGAGATCCTGTCCTCTGTCTTACCTGTGGTCGATTTGCTTGCTGAGGTTGTTGAAGCGCTGGTTGAGTTTGTAGAGCTCGGCTTCTTGCCGTTCGATGTCGGGGCAGTGCTCCTGGAACTTGCTGGCCAGGGTGTTGGAGCAGGTCTTCGCCCTTAGCAAGTTCTGCTCTGCTTCACTGAGCAGGAACCTCTTGGATTGGAGCTCGGTGCCCATGGCCTGTGGAAAAAGCAGGAGAGAAGGATTCTCTGGGGTTGCACACGCGCCAGGCTTTTGTGACCGGTCCCCATCAGCTCCAGCTACTGCATTGGAGCTGCAGAGGATGGTTAGGAACAGGTGAGCTGCAGCAGTGCTCCAGGTTGTAGAGAAAAGCAAGTTGGAGGCTTGCACCATAAGCAGAGCCATCTGGTAAACCTGGTGGGGACACAAGGCAGCTCTTGTTCCATTCTCCACCTTTTTATCTTTAAAAGCAAGCAGACCTTTTGCAAAATATTTGGTGCTCCTCGTGCAAGCCTTAAACCCTGTTCCTGCCAGTGCAACAGCTCCAGAAGGAGACGTGAAAGCTCTTGCAGCGCTAGTCTGAGCCTGGAGACTTGATGGAAAAGCTGAAGAAAGATGTAAAATTCTGGCCTAGCCAGTTCTTGGCCTTTCTAGCAGAAGGGTTGCCAATTTTGATCGGTAGCTTTTCCTAGCGACAACTGTTCTCAGAGCCTTGCTAGGTCCATCTCTTCCGTGTATCAGACCTCTGCATTGCTCTTCCTAGAACATTTTATCCTTCACTTCTCCATTAGTCCTTTTGTCAAATCGCAAGTATTCAACTGGCATTTGCTTTCTGGTTTGGGGATGGGAATGGTTTGCATTTGAAGGAGGTGGGATCACTGCAGTTAAGGTAAGGTCTCATCTCCAGCTGGGGGAGGCCATCCCTTTACCTGCTGATTCAAGCTTGGGAGTTGAGCAGCAATTCCCCCAGCTTTTGGGAGGTGGTTTTGTATGCGGAGCATTTCAATCGGGTAGAAAACTGGCTGGAGAAAACACTCACCAGCAGCTCTTCCTTCTTACGGTCTACCACCCGCAAATCCTCTGGTACCGTGTCATCTATGACCAGTTTGTTCTCATAGGTAGACAGCAGGTCTCGGCCTTGCTGGAGGCTCCTCTCGAGGTGTGTGGCCACCTCAACTCTGTATGGACACAAGAGGAAAGGTGTTTAAGCACGCCTGCGCCCACCTCCTGCAGGATCCCATGTCCTGCCGGGTTCAAGGCATGCCCTAAGCCATGACTTACTTCTCTTGGGCTGCGCTGAGCAGCTGGACCACGCGGTCGTACTTCTTGTTGGTATTCTCCACCTTGTTCTTCACCAAGGTGGCGCTGCCGGTGTTCGGTACGGATTTGATGAAGACCTCACATTCCTGGATCTTCCTCGTTTTCTCGGGTTCAATGCGACGGACCTCGTTGGTGATGTTCTGCAGTAGGAACAGAGCCTTTGAGCAACTCAACTTAAGACCTTGGTGGCTACAAGACAGAGCAGCTGGCCCTTGGCTGTCCAGCGTGAGAGGAGGGGACAGGGCTGAGGGCTTGTGTTTGATGGCAGGTGCCTCTCAGCCCTGTAGGGGACAAAGGGGTGGTGGCTTCTGGTGACTTTCTGTTGACTTGGATCTCTTTGGGGGTGGGCTAACTAGCCCATAGCAAGGAAACTGTGGCTGGGGAGTGCTTCCCACCAGCTCTAGCTCTGTCAGAAACGTGTTGGGCTCTGCAGCCAGACGGATGAATTCTTGCCCGGACATCAAAGCGCCACAGGCACTTGGAGCAAGTTGCTTTCACTTGTGGTAGTGGATTGGATTTTGACACAGCCCTTGGCAGGTGATGTAACCAGGCCCTGAACTTCCTCCTAAACCAAGGGAGGAGGTTTGTGGCACGGAGCCTGGGCTTAATTAGGGGTCTGAAGCTGAGGAAAGGAGCAGGATGCTACCAGCACCGGAGCCTAGCGGAGCAGGTCCACAAGAAGCGCGCCTCGGACCTGAAGTGTTCTCCTGCTCCTTTCTAAGCTGGTGATGGTGGTGGCAGAGTTAATGTCCCTGCTGTGCTCAGACTATGGGCAGGATCAAAACCTGAGGGCTCCCCTCCCTTCCTCACAGCCCCTGCTCTGCAGCCATCACCCCTTTCCCCCCCACTCCCCCCCTCCCCATTCAGCCTTTCTGTGACCAAGCTGGGCCAGGAGCAGGGCAAAGGGTTTTGGCGTCTGAGGCTGCTCCAAGGGTTGCTCCCCGTCTCTGATGGGGGAAGCAGCCAGCTGGAAGCATCACTCCATGCCCGCATGCTCCTGGGCGCAGGGAGCGCCTACACCACCCCATGCACTGAGGGACCACCCTGGTGCCCCCCTGGGAGCAGGGTCCCTGTACGGTGGCACTGTCCTCCTGGTGCCACAGCCCCCTACCTTCAGGTCCTTGGAGCGCTCGGTGCTGTCCTGCACAGCTCGACTCTGCTCCAGCGGCGGGCGGAGGTTTGCCGTTATTGCTTTCTCCTGCTTGTCCAGGTCACTGTTCACTTTCTCCAATCCTGCCAGAAGCTGGCGCCCCTGAATGGATGCAGCATCTGGATAGCGAGGGGGGGGGACCAGGTTAAAGCTGCTTGAAAGCTGGGTCCTGGGCTCAGTCCCACTGGTGACTGCAAAACCCGTGTCCCCCTCCGCTCCCTGAGCCATGCCTGCTCTGGCCCTGCACCCATCCCAGCACTGCTGTCCCCAGGACCCTGAGGAGAGGGGAAGCTCTCGGTGACATCCCCCCTAAGATGGGGCACCCCCTCCCTTCAAGGCTACAGCAGCCCTTTTTTGTGCCCGGGACGGGGCGAGCCCCCGGAGCCGCACCTCCGATGCTGTCAGCCTTCAGCCCCTCGTAGCGCTGCTGGATGGTGTTCTTGCAGTTGGCCGTCTTCTCCTTCACGGCCACATAGTGGTCGGCAATTCTGGAAAACAGGGCAGGAGGTCAGGATCAGGTCCTTGGCCCCCCAGTACCCATCCCGGTGCTGCTCCGGGACGGAGGTGCAGCTCTGGTGGAGGGGCTTGCAGGTCCTAGCCCCTCGAGGCAGCCATGGAGCAAGTTGGGGAGAGGCACCTTCACCCCGTGCCGGCGAAGGGGTAGAGCAGGGGAGAGGCAGCAAAGGCAGGTACGTGCCTGCTGAGGGAGGGGTGGGCAGCTCCCCTCACCCTAATGGCCCCCCCCCCCAGAGGAGGGGGGGACCTGGATGGCTCTGAGCTGGCCCCGGTTTGCCAGGTGGGATCTTGTGTGCAAGCAGGAGGGTGCAGGAATCCCTCCTGGAGGAAGCCTGAGGCTCCAAGCAGGCAAGGCTTCGCTGTGGGCATGGGGGCAGGAACCCCCCCATCAGCGCTGCCAGATGGGGGGGCATGGCCTGGCAAAGCGAAGGGTAAAGGCTGCTGGGGCAGCGGGAGGGGGGGCACGGCAGGCTGGGGGGCACGTACTGGTCTGCCAGTGCTATGGCTTCTGCGTCGGGCGGGGGGATCATGAAGCAGACCCCCGGGGCGCTGATCTTGTCTCCTGAGCTGTCTGCCACTTCCCAAACATCTCCGCTGTTCTTCTCCAGGGTGTAGTGGGCTCCTCGGCTGATCTGGCCCTGGGGGACAGGAACCGGTCACAGCGGCGCGTTGGGAAGCGTCACCCGCCCCGCTCCATGACGGTGGCCCCCAGGCGCCATGCTTGTGGGGCAGCAGGACCGGCATAAACCCCAATCCCTTCTCTCTGCACCCTCTTGCTTATTCAAGTATCTGCCGCTTGCAGGGATCTCATGGGCCTGCTCCTCCCTCCCCGGAGCCTCCAGGTACGAAGCCGTGCCGCCTCTTGCAACACCCATGGTAAGCAAATTCCCACTGGGGCAGCGATGGGAAGGCGTTTCCGAGGCTGCGCTGTGGCTTTGCTTTCCTTTCCCGAGGCAGGCAGCTGCAGTGTCTGCTGCCTGCCCCGTCCCTTCCCCAACTGCTGGGTCCTGCAAAGACCCATGCTGGGGATGGGGGGGATGTGGATGCGCCTGCCAGGACTGCGCCAGGGATGCCGTTGAGTTTCTTTGATCAGAAACATGCCCGGACATCTTCACCGTCCCGGCGCAGGGAGCGTGGGAACGTGGCGGAGCCGGGCTGTCGTAACCTCCCCAGGGGCGTGCGGTAGGCACGTTGGCCGCATAGCAAGCGGAGGCTGTGCTTCCTCCCCCCCCAGACCCCTCCTGCCCTGCTCCTCCTCAGCTGCAAAACCTGCTTCCCCAACCGGGGCGAGCACGACCTTCGCCTCGTCCCCGCTGCGGGAGACATCGCCACTTGGGCGCTGGCAAAACCCGCTCCTTCCCCGGTGCCTCTTCCACCCCGGGAGAGTGCTGGCTGCGCTCCTGCAGGGACTTCACCACCGCCTCATACTTGTCCAAGGCCTTCTCCTGGTCCTAGCACGGGGTAAAGACCAAAACCAGTAAGGAAAGGTGGGAAGAACGAGCTCCTGGGCTCTGCCGGCTGGGGAGGAGCTCGTACCAACGCTGCCGGGACGGAGGCTGCGGCTTCGCTTTTGCTTAGGCTAATGCAAGCGGCTCCTGCGCCCCCGCTCTGCAGCCCCTGCCTTCCTGCACCAAGCGTTCCTGCGCTCTCCTGCCCCACTTTTGCAGCCAGGCTGAGGACAGGGACCGTGCCCGTGAGTTGCCGTGCCTTGGCACTCGCCACCGGGCAGCGACGGGCATTCCCTGGCGGATGTTCCGCATCCGCCTGGCAGCGTGTTGATGGATAAGCCCCGTTGCCAGCTGTTGGCCCTAATGAAGAGCCCTGGGGAAAGGCTCTCCAGCGGTCGCTGCATTTCTGGCTGTGCAGGGGGGTACCCCACGGTGCTGAGTGGGACGGAGCGTGCAGGAGGAGGGGGATGGCTCTCGGCTGTCCCGGGCCACGTGCGTCATCTGGGCTTGCTGCTGCACGCCTGGGCTTGGGCCAGGCCAGTGGCTGGGCTCGGCGCAGCCCTTCCCAAGCAAGGGATCTCTCATCCCAGCTCGCGGCGGCACAGCGAGTTCCACAGCCTCCTCCGGCAGCAGGTCTAATTATGCTCCCACCCTTAAGGAGCACTAACTCAATGAGAGAACAAATAAAAACCAACCCAGCCGGCAATTACGTTGCTACGGGAGAGGCGAGCTCTAGCTCGAGGGGAAGGAAGAGTCCGGTGAAGGCCGGGCAAAGGGAGGTGGCAGCACTGTCCTGCTGCTCGCCAGGCTGAAAGCTGGGTGAGGTGCCTGCTCCGGCAGGGACGTCCCTGCTTCGGTGCCGCAGGGACACCAGCTCCTGCCACTGCCTCCCCTTCAGTCCTGCCTGCACCAATACTCACGTCCAGCTCCCGGAGGAGAGACTCGAGCTGGTATCTGTCCTTGAACTCCGGGCTAAATTTTTGGTCCAGGTCTGTGTCCACCTTCTTCAAGAGCTCCTGGGCATCCTTAGCGTCTTTCTGAAACTGCAGAGAGGCAGAGCTGCTTGTGAGAGAGGGTCCTGCTGAAAAAAAGCATGAAGCAGACCTGGCCCCATCCCAGCACCCTGGTCCTCATGCTACCTAGAGCGGGGACAGCCCCCAGGAGCCGTGATGGGCATCTAAGTGCTCAGAAGTGCACAGAGAAAGGTGAGGAATCGCTATTTCCCAGCAGAGCTAGGGGATGGACAACCAGGGGCAGCTCGTTCCATGGTTATTCCACGGTCGTCCTCTGCAGAGCTGTGAAATCCCACCTTTCCCCACCCTCAGGTTTGTTGACTTGGGCAGCATCGCGACGCTGCCTGGTGCCTCCATTGCCACCGCCAAGGAGAAGGCAAAGCCGAGCCCTTCCATGCTCAAACCACCCCCCGGGGCAGTTATTCTGGCAGATACCTGCAGAAGGCACTGCCCGGGCTGGGCAGCAGGGTTCAGTTTTGGCAACAGACTCATCATGTCGTCAACACGCCCAGGCTGTGGGAAAGGAATCCAGCCTGACCTGCTCCCCTGCAGAGCCTCCCTGGCTGTCGGATGCAATTTATCCAGCAGACAGCCCGTCTGCTGAGCTCAGCTGGGGCGCTGAGCCCTCGCGCGGGGCTCCCCGGGGGGCCAACTCCGCTTTCTGCAGGTGTAGTTTCCCCACTTGGACCTGTTCTGCTTCCAAGAGGAGCATGCAAGGTCTCCCCGTGCCTTGCGTTGGGGGTGAGGTACCTCTGCAGGATCTCTCTGCTGTCCCACGGACAAGGATGCCAGCTTTGGGCTCTGGCTTCTTGAACCGCGGCAGCGGAGCAGATGCGCTCGGCAAGTTACGCCTTGGCCAAGCAATTACAGTATTTGGTGCTTGAGGAATCAGCTCAAAGTGGTCCTCCAAGCCTTAAAAGCCCCTGAGACCAGAGGCCTAAACCTCTTCTACCCTGTTTCCAGAGCAGCAGGAGCTTGGATGTTTGCTGGGGTCTCCTGCAACCCAGCACCTACTCTCTGGGCTGCGCAGAGCAAATGGCGCCTGGCTGCCCCTGGGGACCCGGTACCTTGTGAAAGTCCTCCATGAACTTCAGGTGGCTCTCCTCGCAGATCAGCAGGTTGAGGTACTCCTTCCAGTCGGCGTGCACCGCCTCGATGTGAGCCTGCAACACAGGGGCGGGCGGTGGACGTCAACAGGGTGCCCCATGCGAGGGGCAAGCCTGGGCTGCCCACCCGAAAGCATCCGTCTCCCTCTTGAGCAAACAACGCCTTGGCTGCCTATGAAACCACCCAGGTGCCCTCAGGTCAAAGCTAGGGTGGGAATAGTGAAGAGCTAGTCCAAAGCCGGGATGCTCCAATGGGAGTGTGGGGATGGGTGGAAGGAGATGGCCAAATTCTCTGGCCTTATGTCCCTCTTCCCATCAAAGGTGGAATTTGCCACCACAATTTAGACTTTGTAGGTAGGCACAGGAACGAGGAAGACGGGAAGAGCTCCTTGGGTTTATCTCAGCTCCTCCAACGGTGTTTACACGCTTGCAGGTGAAGGAGATTTTTTCCCACTTGGCATCCCAGGGAAGTGAAGCCAAGAGTCATGCTGGCACCAGGTCCCACCCTGGAGAAGGGCTGGGTGAGTCCCCTGAGCTCCGGGGCAGGCGGGGAAGCTGGAGCCTGTCCCTGATGCTCACCTCGATGGCGTTCTTCCCAGGGTGGTTCTGGGCGAGCAGCTGATCTCCATCTGCATGCAGCTTGTTGATGGCCTCCTCCTTCTCCTCCAGCTTCCGATGGATGAAGTTCTAGATGGAGAGAGGCAAGATATTGATCCCCACGCAAAGCGAGGGGACCCCGGCTGCATCTTGTGGCTGAGCTACTCTGAAAGGGCCCGAACAGCTCCACAAGCCAGAAGGCGTGATGTTCCCCTCCCGCAGCTCTCGCTTTTCCTTCCCTTGCAGGTGTTGCTCAAGATGTGACTCTTGCCAAGTGAATGCTGAGATAAGGGAGAGGAGAATGAGGAAGCCCTTGAGCTTCCCCATGGCTTTATTTCTGGCAGGAGGTAACGATTAACCTTGCTATCCATTCGTCATCATCTCAAAGTGCTTCGTCATGGAGTGGGGGAAACTGAGGCACAGGGGAAGGGATGGTTCCTGCCCCCATCCAGCCCCCAGCCTACTCCCCGGGCTCCGTGCCCACCTCCCTTGCTGCAAAGCACCCAGCCGGCGCACAGACCTCGTACTGGCGGCGCCGGCTGGGGTAGTCCAGGTTGTGGTCGCTCCAGTCGTAATGGGTCCTGTCCTTCGCCTGCTGATCCAGCCAGTAGAGCTTGTTGGTGCAGCGCTGCATGTAGTCCTGCAGGGAATTCAGATCCTGCTGCCGCTGCTGGGAGCCGGCCTGGGAAGGGTCAGAGGGAGAGCTCAGCCCAAAGCTCCTCTTCGTGGGTCCCCTGAGGGTGCTGGGCCACCCCGGCAAGGGAGCCCTGCAAAAGGGCTCTGCCCCCAGGATCTCAGAGGTCTCTTACCAGCAGCTTCTGATATTTGGCTTGGAAGTCGCTCGTGTATTCCTGGTAACAGAGGAGAAGCGAGCCAAGCGTTAGGAGCCTGTCTCTGGGGAGTAGTGGTATAGCGGGGGCTTGATGGAGGGGGGGTGGGATTTGGGGTTTATGGGATTTGCCTCATTGTAAAGCTAGAGTTGGTCTACGATGCTCAGCTCCCAGGTTAGGCATGGATCTGGGCAACCACCCAACCTGGTCCAGGCTGTAGGAGCTTGGATGGTGAGATGCCCTCGCCTTCATCAGTGGCTTGGGACGGGGCCAGGGGGGCAGCAGGGAGAGGGGCGGGAGAGCTGACCTTATTGCCTTCCTTGGTGATGTGTGGGCCGATGGCCATGACCTCATTGTGGAAGATGTTGTGCTCTTCTACTTGGCTGTTGACCAGCGGCAGGTCGGTCCCAAAGCCCTTGCTGCTTAGCGCTTCCTGCGGCACACAGGAGTTGAGGTTAGCGATGGGGGAACGGGATGCGGCGGCTAAGACCTGGGAAACTCCTCTCGGAGGTGGACACGGAGCTGGGCTTGGATGGGCTCCAGTGTCAGCGGCACGTGGGAGCCCGTGGGTGAAGGTGGCCATCCCATGGGTGAAGATGGCCATGGGAAGGCCAGTTTGGGGGTTTTAACCCTTTTCTGGCAGGAAGAGTGTAGTGCTGGGCTAAAATGAAGAGGAGGGGCCACGGAGTAGAGCCCAATGCAGGTGGTGACTGGGGATGCCAAGCCGCGGACCCAAGAGGAGAGGCTTTGTGGGGGGACCTAACAGCATCCTTCCCATAACCACAGGGAAGCTGTTGAGCAAACGGAGCTAGGCTCTGCAGGGTGGTGTGTGGGAGGGAGGTGGGAGATGTCGGGTGTAAAGGGAAATGGGGGAAGCGCAGACTGGGTGTAAGGAGAAGCTTTTTCTCTCTTAGGACAGTGGGGCATTGGAGCACGTTGCTTGGAGGGGGAGCACGGTCTCCATCCTCAGCTGGAGAAGGGCAGAGGTTTGCCCAGGCTCACCCAAGAGATCAATAGCCAGGCTGAGCTTTTAGGAGTCCATCCCCTGGAGGCCAGGCTGGTGCCTTCTCCCGGGGACCCCTGATCCTCTGGAGCTTTTCCTCGCTTAGCCCAGCTGCTGCCAGCGGTGCCGCTTCCAGTGCCCATTCCTGGTGCCACAGCAGCTGGCCTTGTCCCATGACCTCTGCACCTTCCCTGGCCACCCAGCACCCCACCTCCTCCCCATGCTGTCTGCTGCTCCCAGTATCAAGCAGCCAAGGCTTCCAGCAGCCTGTTTCTCCATGGGGAGATGCACGAGGTCCTGCCTGTCCCCAGCTGGCGCCGCTGGCCAGGCAAGCGGCACCGATGGTCCCCTCGGTACCTGTTTCTCCTCAATCACTGTTGACCAGTTGACCTGGGGCTCAATATGCTGCAGGGGGAAGTTGTAGATCTGCTCATGTTTCACGCGCAAGTTTGCCACTCGTTCCTTCAGCTGCCGGATGCTGCAGGAAGGGGAAGATGAGGGTGGGATGTGGGACGTGGGCACGGGCATCGGCTGGGGAGGGAGAGGGCCAAGGTTCCCGCGCAGCCGCCCCCTGCCAAGGGCTGCTCAGCTCATCTGCCAGCTGCGGGCAGGCTGGTACTGGGGGCTGCCCATATTCGGGGCAGATACCGCCCCACCGTGCATCATGCAGAGCTTTATACACGGCCATCAGCAGGCGTGCAGCCGTCCTCGCTATTCGCCTGCCGGTGGAGGGCTGCGGGCTGTGCACCTTAATGCGAGCTGGGCTGCGGAGGAGCCTGCGGTGCCTCCCCCAGCTGCAGGCAGGAGCCGAGCAGAGCCCCTGGAGGAGCATCCTCCCACCCTGCGAGGCCATGGGGACAGGTTCCCCCCCCCCCCAGGTACTCACTCTTCTGTGATCATGTCACCCTGGGGGTGCTTCATGTGCCGGGCGACCGCTGCATCCCCATCCAGCACGTAGAGCAGCTTGTCGGACTCAGTGAGCTTCTGAGCCGTCAGATCCTTGTACTGGGCGAGCTGGCATGCCTTGATCTTGTGCAAGTCCTGGGCAGGCAGAGAGCAGGGAGGAAGGGTCACGAGGGGAGAATAAATGGGATCCAAGAGGTCATCCCGCCACGCTGCCCCGGGACACCAGGGAGGGGCGGGAGCTCTGCCGTCTCCCCTCCTCCCAGGGATGGATTTTGCTTTCCCCTCGCCTGGGTTAGCCCCGAGGAAGGGCTGTGGCGGGGGGGGGCTGCGTCACCTCGGGATGCATCGTACCCATTGGGAAGAGGAGGAATGGTTCAGGCTCCCGTTCCTCCGTGCTAGCTGCCTGCTGGGATCCCGCCCAGGGATGCCGGTGCCCCGTTCGGCACAGTGCTACCCAGCCCTGGGTAAGGAAAGCATTTCGGGGCCCCATCACCTGTTGCACCCTCCCACCTTCTTCCCACGAGCCACGGGAACCCGTGCGTCCCTCCGTTACGGATCAGGACAGGGCCGCCAGAGGAGGGGAGATGAGACGGCAGCGAAGCAGGGGGGAGCAGGGGGGACAGGGCTACTTCGGCGGAGCCCCGGTGCGTGGGGCCACGGCTTGCTTACATTTTGCATTCGGGAATCTGTCTCCACGATGTTTTTTTCCACCTGGTCGGCATTTTTCTGCAGGCGCTCTATGAGCTCGGTCAGCTCTTTGCTGGAGATGCTGGGGAGAGAGAGGAGGAGGAAGAGGGGGACTCGTCACCCCACAACCTCAGCCCTTGGC